GGGGGGGGGGGGGGGGGGAGCCCAAGAACAAGCCATTTATTTCCAATACAGCAGATAAGACTGAGGGGCAGGGAGCTTCAGGCTCCAGGGGAACACAGCCAGACCCCATACCTCCATCTTCATTTCGCCAATATAGGAAAAGATTCATTGTCCCAACTTCTGTAATTTGATGGTCATCACCATAAAGCCAGAGAACCTGCTGGCACCCCAGTTCCATGGCTTCCCGTTGGGCATAAATCGAAGAGCCATAATTCCTTTGGGACACAGAGCAAAAGGGCCAGTTATCCGCTTGAGAATATACCTACAAGTGATTTGCTTTTTAATGCGTAAACAGAGCCTTCCCAACCCAGTGCCTCCAGATACATGCAGACTGTAACTCTAATAGTAGCTGGGAATCTTGTGAGTTGTAGTCCTAATGTACTGGGAAGGCACAGAGTTAGGAAAGGCAGATATAATTAATTAACACCTTTCTGATATGCATTCTCCTACCTATGATAAAGAAGGTATTTTATACATCCAAGTATTGAACTAGGTCCAACCCAGACCAGCTATGTACTACATATGTTATGCACCTTCAAAAGTGACATTGTTTACAGTGAGTCTTCACATCCTTTACCAATGATCTGTGGGCCATCCTCTTTACCATCTTCAAAAAATGGGAGCTGGAATTTGTTTCATAAACAAGCCCCAGATGATTTCCCATATCAGATTTATTAGCCTAGACCATGTATGAAATGGATCCTCGTGCTAGGAAGGACCATCTTGGCTGGAACAAATGTCATTTGTTTCTGTCTGAAAACACCAAGTATGCTGTCAAAGCCAGTTTTTCTTATTGGTCCAATAAGGTGTTGTGAGACATCTGGCAGACTGTGCCTCCAGGGCACTCAAGCACCTTCTCCAGATGGCTGCATTTCCCTAGATAGTCACAGATGATTTGCTTTGAGTCAAGGAAGAGGGAGTCTTTGAACCTAGTTTGTCCTCCCAACTCGAATCTCATGAAACCACAAAGAGGCATTGCAGAGATGCCATTAGCTTTCAGAGAACTAAGTAGCCAGGCCATTATACTGCTGCATTATTAGAGGTCCAATCCCATGAGGAAGATGTGCAAAAGACTGGTCAAAACTAGATGTAAATGTTGTTCCCAAAGTTTGTGAGCAAACTGGCAGTTGAATTTTCTTCAGAACTTAGGCTTCAAGGTACACAATCATTATAGGTTTGGGTTATGGACACTACATACAGTACACAGTGGCACACTGAGCTTTATGAGACTGCTCATATTTAAGGGCACCGAGATCTTACTGGACCTTCCACTGTTGATAGTTTTAAGTGCAAATAGGTGGCCAAGAAAGGGATACCTACAAAACTAGGACAGGCTGGAATGGGGAAGGCTATGAAATGAGCAGAACCCACAAATCATTCATGAACCTGGCTTGTTCAGCACGTGGGAAGTGCCTGGGGCAAAAGCCATCTGCTATCCTCTTTCTGTCAGGGACATCAGCTATATCCAATGTTGGAGCACTGGATCTCTAAAATGTCCCTCATTCAACTGGAAACATCTCAACTTAGGAGGATCATTCAATAGTTGATATGAAAGTCCTTCCCTTAGATCCTGAAAAGCCACTGCAAGATTGCATTCACACAACATGCTAAACTTGGTTAACAAACTAACTCATTTTCTGGATGCATACAATACACTGAACTAAAATCTAACCAAACTAACCAAGCATTGTACATTGTGCAAAGGTCTTTACCTGACCTGGTAAAACAAGTTGGATGAATCTAGCCACGCAGTAGAGCTTACCCAGATCATGGGTGACAAATCAGTGGCCTGTAAGCCACATGTGCTTCATGTACAGCCCTCTGCAAGAAACTGTTACTGCTACCAATTTCCCCCATGTGATAGTCTGCCAATCAGCTGTTTGTTGAGATGCTAGTCACCAGGATAGTAATACTTCCCAGAAGTCAGCCCTAGCATGATGACCCAATGTACCAGTATCAATAAGTGAGAAAGGATGGCTCAATCTTTGCTCTCCAAGTGGTAGAAGGGACCTTGGTAGTCAACAGAATATTTAGGATGGGGGGATACTCCTTTCCCCCACCCAGGGTGGGACTGTAGATGGGAGTATGAAAATTTACACATCCATATGTGTAGTCTATAACCACATATCTTCAGATCCAAAAAGCTTGTACATTGATGGGTTAAACAGATGAATGATCTGACTTTGTATAGCATCTTCCTGTATTACTATGAAGCTATATCGAAGTTGACACACAAGAACTGCTTTTTGACCTTACCAATGGCAAGGTACTTTTCTAGAAAAGTCTGGAATGAATGCAGCCTGTTTGTGGTACAGCCAGCATCTCTTGACTTGAAACCTGCCAGATGCACCTAAAAGTCAATCCAAATGCAGACTTCTCCATTTGTTGTTGCTAAGCCAGTCCCATCAACTTCCTTCCTTTCTACCCTATATATTGTATGGATGTTATTGCTCAACAGGTGGCATCACCTGTGTGACCTTATGTGATCTCAGAAGCTAAATAGGATCAGGCCTAGTTAGCAGCTGAATGGGAGGCCATCAGGCAAGACCACTCTATAGACCAGACTGGAAAGCCAGAAAAACATCCCAGAAGGCTGTTCATGCTGGAAAACTTACTGGGAGTCAGGTGGCATATAAAGTTGTTGTTGTTGTTGTTGTTGATGATGATGATGATGATGATGATGATGAAGAAGAAGAAGAAGAAGAAGAAGAAGAAGAAGAAGAAGAAGAAGAAGAAGA